TAAACATTTTAAAAGCAAAAACAAGTGTTTGATTTTTTTCAATATTCAAACAAATGAATACATTTCATGTCAATTGCACAATGAGAAAGTGTTTTCTGTCAATCATATTTCAACAACATTAAAATCATACCAAATATCTAAAAATGTTGCAACTACTGTATCAAATAATGATGGAAATAATATTAACGTTCATCATTAAAATTTTCTAAATGCTTCTTGTTTTCTTGATACATTGAAAACATTAAGTATATAGTTAATACACAACTTCTAATTTATGAATTGAAGCTAATACATTTCAAATAATTAAATCTACCGTTAATATTTGATTAAGAGTTATAATTAAAAAAAATGTGTGTCTCCAAATTAATTAATTTATGTTTCTAAATATATTGCAAGTAAAACATATAATTTGCATTTATTAATTTCGTTATGTAGAATAATTGTTGTTTCTTTTAAAATTTTATTTCTTTATCATAATTTTTCCATTCAATTTTCATGAAAAAAAAAACTGTTTAAATATCAGCCGGTATGAATTCGTTTCGGGTTGAATGAGTAGCAAAATATTTGCAGTGCGACATACGTTTTTCAGCAAACAACATTGTAACGCGTCTTTATTTGTTTAATTCTTCGTTGTTTGTTGCGAAAAAGAACGGGTTTCGGCCTGTTATTATCATCACGTTCGTATACGTATTTCGTAAAGGAACAAAGGGAAAGGGTAATTTCATCTAATGTTACCCATTTATCCAGCTGTGTCATAGCTCATGTACAAAGCTTTGGTAAATGAAGCCGCATTAATAATTGAAATAATACGAAACCAAAGGCGAACACTTCAATTATCCGGTAGACCTCGCCCATTAAATCCGCTGCCCACGTCGTTTCACAATTTTCTGCAATCCCTCGAAACTAATTGATTAATCCATTAATTTAATTGCCACAGATTAAACTTAATTCAGTATTTTCATTTACAAATAAATTTATTTTTACTTTTGGTATTCTAACAAAAAGGGAATTGTATTTCCCCTAGAGTTTTCCAATTTTTTTTTTAAATTTTATTTTCAGTTTAAAAATGCTGGGGGCACTTTAAATTATTTAGATCCTTACTTTTCTATTTCAGACCTCGAACAGGAGCGGCAACTGTGTAAATACAAAGTGTCTTCCCAGTTTTCGTTTAGTGTTTCTTCAATACTTTATCGCATTACCGGTCCATGCTTTGTTACACAGAAACTTACACACGCACGCTCACACACTTCACATACCGTTTTAAATGGAAGGCAATTAATTTGATGGTGGAATAATTAACACAAAGACATATATGCACACACGCGAAAGGAAGTCAGGAACAATGGTGAGAGATCGAAACATGTTTTCCACATGTGTGTTTTTCTTACATTTTACAACGAATTTATCTTCGTTGCTCTATATTGTGCTGGACTTAAAATAGCTATTAAACGGAAGGTCTTACTTATCTTACTTTTTATCTTCCACAAAAGACAGAGCTACATCATTAATACAAAATTTAATAGAATTTCCTTCACCAGGTGGTCCTTGAATAGATGTTTCCTCTATTTACATCTTAAAGTCTTAACGAAAGCAAATTAGATTTTTTTATAATTAAATATAATTAATTATTTTGTTGTTGTATAATTTTATTCACAATATGTTCATCTATGTGAACATTGAGTAAATTTAAGATAGCGGTTTACATTAATTGGATAATCTTTCCCAGTGGATAGTTTACCATTATGATGATTTGAACATTAATAATTACTTAAATCTATATACTAAATCTAGTGGTTTGCAACTCTTCAGCCTATTTGTAGTTTCGCTGTTGTTGAGTAAGCTAATAGCCAGAACATTAGTATGTGACTCCAGTCTTTCTTGGTATGAAGATCTTCGTGTATTTGTTTATTCCTGACGAACCATGGGGCCCTAATAATCTTTCTTAGGCATTTTGATTGTATACTTTTGTATACCAGATACCATACGTCCTTACTGGTTTCAGTATTAATTTGTATATAAGTAATTTATTTTCCACTGATAATTCCGACTTTTTCCCTAGAAGCCAATAAAGTTTTCAAAACTTTATTTCTAATTGCTCCCTCTTAACCTGAATGTGATCTTTCCAGGTGAGTCTTCTGTCTAGATGCATGCCTAGATATTTGACTTTTGTTGCTTTGGGTAGATCTTGTCCATCAAGTCTTACATTGGGAAGGTGTGAATGTGATATGCATGGATTTCATTTCATTAACTGCTATTCTCCATTTTTTAAGCCATTCTTGTAGCTTATCTAAATTTGCCTGGATTCTCATCTTATGCAAATATTGCTGTGTCATCAGCGAATGTTGCAATCGTAGTATTGTTAGTTTTAGGAATATCTGCCGTGTACAGAAGGTAAAGCAGTGGTCCTAAAACACTTCTCTCCGGCACCCCTGATTCTAAAGGATATGAGTGGGTATATTCATCTTCTATTTTTACCTGAAACATTCTATGTAAAAACAAGAAATCTACTACTATACAAGGCAATAATAAACAATATTGAGGATTGATCCAATGACCAAATTACACTGATAAAATATAAACAATTAAAAGACGAAACGAGTCCAAGTTTGTTAAATAATAGTAAATATTGTTATTGTAACATAATATAGGAGAATATCATGAAATTAGTTTATAAAATAATATTGTTAATAAATATATATTTGAAAATTGATCCGCTTTTGTAATTTAAATCACTATAATTCACTTTACCAAAAAGTACATAATATTTTTTTTTTCATTGAAAATATTGCTGAAATTTAATAAATAATGATAGGCAACTTAATTTTAATGTGTTTTAATAGAAATCCAAAGATTGTTTCTATTTTAACTATGTTGAGGTAACAAAGGGTTTTAGGAATAAAAATTCCAATTGTTATACATTTTATTAAAAATGTCAATATCTTGTCGTGTCCCAGGGATGGAATTCTGGAATATCTTCTTCTGGTGTTGTTGTTGTGGAGTCTCAGTTGTAGGAATTAAAGAATTCAATTGGTTTAAAACAAGTTTATTATAATAATTGGTACTCTTGGGGTTCTTTCCAAGACAATGTAGATACTTTAAAAGATTGACTAAGACTAATTACAAATGCTTATTGTACTTACAAAGCTTTTTCGAACGTTCTAATTTCAATATGGATAAGAGCACAGGAATGTATATATACTTGCTGGATTCCCCAAACATTCAGCTTTCATGTGCATATATTGGATTCATTCTATCTAGTATAGTTTTCTAGTAAATCAATGAAATGTGGAAACACTCCTTTTTCAAGTTAAAAACACGAAGAAACGCCGCAAACGGTCACTGTCTTCTGTGGGATCTGTCTATTCTGCATATTGTTCTGTTAATGACCTATAATTTAGTGGTTGGACACAACAATCTATCGATAAAATATGGTTTTAGTAGTGTTTGGAAAGTCTTAATAAATATTAGTTATTTAATTATATTCTAAATTAAATGTTGTCTATTTAAATAATGGATGTATATTCACCAGATTGTATATGAGAAAATGTCTTGGAAATGTCGTTAAATTATACGAGGTATTAATATAGGTTTCCAAGAAGAAAAGCCTTGTCATGAGTCATTTTTATGGGTCAGATTGATTTTCGATTTTAGTCACACAAGCAGTGACATTTGCCAAGAAAATAAAATAACCGTGAAAAATCAAACAGCGTATTTTATAAGTAAAGGTGATAAATAATTTCCGAGATCCGCCTCGGGTCGCATACGGTGCATGTGTACATGTGCATTGATCGCTGACAAAAGGCAAATACTGGAGGCGTCTTTCCTACTTTCCTACTAGTATCTAGGTAAGAAGCCATGTATCCAGAGACATGCACGACTGGACAATAATCTATAAACATATTTACCATGCATTTCTCATACTTACAACTATATTTTTCGAGCCGACACTTCGACACATTTATCATTTACAGATACATCCGTATTTTCACCGTGCCAACCACCAAGATCCTCTAGCCCTTTTCCCGGACCGACCGACTATTTCATATTTATAAAGTGTATTTATTATTCGAGAAAATATATTCTCATTCAGCGAGACTCACATAAAATATTCGACATGTTTTGTTACCAGTCGCAATTGGACTTTTGTCGGTCAAGCGTTAAAACGCACCGCACGTAATGATAATAAATCGCAATAAAATCAATATTTTATTGGGGCCGTAAAAATACCAAATCCCCGGGATCACATCGGAATCCCATTTTAATGCATTTCACTGTTATTTGTTTTTAATTTGCGAAAAATGCGAATTTGTTCTAGTTTCCTGTTTTCATATATAAACAAAAAAAAGACATACATACATTTTTTTATATCTTATAATTATTGTTTGTTTTTTTCAATAAAAACATCAATTCATATCCTGTCTCTCTGAAATATAAAAATAATTGGAAAAACATTTTTTTTAATTAAAAATTGCAAACAATTATATAATTCAAAATATAAAATTACGAAATTGATGATACTAGAGAATCCAAGATTACCGAGATTTTCTTTTAATGGCAAATATTTGAAATAAAATCCCATACAAATACAACTGGAAATCCCATACAAGTTTGTCGACCGAAGTTTTCTCACCTAATATTGTTATAAATAAATTGTATTTCCAGTTCAAATTGTCTTTAATTTTATATAATAGTTAGAAATTTCACTTAAGTGTATTTGTATTGTAAATGTCCTGTGGTGCATCTTGTTTAGCATGAATAATACATAAATAATCATTTCTGCGCAGACTAGACAGTACGTAATGCGTTCTTAATTGAATCAAATAGATCGTTTAGCAGGTCCAAGAAGGAAACGCTCATGAATCAATTCATCAGGCCTAAACAGCGAGCGACCTTCTTCATATAAATTCCTTAACAAAAAAAAAGAAGCAACAAGAGAAGATGAACAGACGAGGAGAAGAGAATAGCTGAAGCAGCGCAGAGAAGAGAATAACGATAACAAGTGTATTATATGGTATTATACAATAGCCCCATTATCTGGATGCAAAGGGCATAACTCTCAGTCTCGTCTTCGCCCACATGCGGTGCAGTTGGCACAGTCGAAAATTTACGGGCGCGAAAGGAGAATTTAAAATTGCCGCGATGTGATGCATTATTTACTTCTAGTTTCGTGCAATATTCCTACCAAGGTAAAATTTATTATGAACTGTTTTGTTTTTTGTTTATAAACTTTCCAATATAATAGCAACAAACTCTCTTAGTAATGTAATATAACCAGTATATTCAAATAACTAAAATTATTTCTTAGGTAATATAAAAATGTACAATAAAATTACTAATATATGTGAAAGTAATACAGTAAGCATATAGGCTTACATCAGTGAATACTACGTAATTTCGAATTTGAATTTAATTCTATGTAATGCAAACTAGTATTTGCTTTACATTTGGTATACACGCACCGTTGGCAAACATGCAATCACACAAAAATGTATGTTAATTATTGGATTACAATTCCTGTGCGATAAACGCAAACATTTGGCGAACATTTATATTGGTTTATAAATAATTAGTTTACTTATTCGATTAAATGAAATATTCGGCGGCAATTAAATTTCATGGGGATTTGACTAAATTTCAATTAACGATTGCCTCCGGTTTTGTCAACATTTCATGGATGCAAATGCACATTTCGGGTTTTAATTCCAACGCAATTTCTTCACAACAAAATTATAATAAAAACGTTAACATTGCTTCAATAATATTAAAGTTTGTCCTGAAATGGAATACAATTTCAGGGCAAATATTCAACATATTGTAGATCACATTGATATAATTATATAGCTATTTTTTCCGAACTTTTCCAATTGAAAAACGATTTTTGAAATAAAATTTTGTTCAAATAATAATGAATGAATTCGTAATAACGTAATGAATTCCCATTATTTAATTTCTGTTCTAGGATACATTTGTTGAACGAATAAGAAAACAATGTAACATATAATATAACTTTCTAAAGTTTACTGTTAAAGTTGCAGAGTTTATTTAGGAACTCTGTAGTGGCTACAGAAATGTGTCGTAATATGATGAAAAAAAAAAAATAAGTGCATAAATAAAACACACCGGCAGCGTAAAATTATATTTAATATGTAAGGTCATAAAATGTCCATTTCCGTTCGGCAACTGGCATATGTTTGCGTATTTTTATATCATTTTGGGCTCTGACGCCAGTCGTTTTTCACTCCCGCAGGTACAATAAATATGTGTTGCTTTTTACCCTCCCCTATAAATATGGGCATATATACATCTAAATTGTAACTACAAACATCACGGACAACATTCGCAATATTGTGACCTATCGATATTTGAAATATTGTAACTGAACTTTATAATATTTTTAATTAAATTGTCGCTGTTGTAATTTTGTTAATTGTATATTTATTATTGAAATTACCGAAATTGTATTTGATTTATGACATTTTAATAGTAACTAGTGTGCATTGATTTGGATGAAATCAGGCGTTAAAATGTTATATATAGAGTATGTCTATCGGTGAGTGAACTTTACATGGCACAGTTTGCGAGTTTGAAAAATGTATTTATTGACCGACGGTCTCTACCATTATCTAAATCTGCCACTTATGCGACAATACAATCACGAACCCACCGTCAACGGCCGGCCGGTAATTGATAGTAATAAGCGAATTTTGCTAACAAGCGACAGGCCGACACATGTGACTTCTCTCCATCTCTCTTTGTAATTTGTAAGTCAGAATCGCTCGTATTCGCAACGGGGAAGCCCCTACGGACTCCCCCGTTCCACTCCCCCCGTGGGGCCGAGATAGCCTTATTAGTTAAATACGCGCGACGTTCCATCAACGATGGCGGGGGGGCACTGGGACCACCGCCTCCACGCTTCCGCCCTTATTCGTACCCCGACGGACCACCCCTTTTTGACGTCAATTATAAACTACGTAATTACTTCCATTTCGTGGGTCGCGTGCAATCAAAGGGATCTAATCAGGCAACACTGTTTTCCAGCCCATAATGCCCATATCAAACACGTGTTATTTTTCACCGAAAACTTTGATTCGTAATTCCACACAAGAATTTAGTCCCAAAATAACACTGAGTGATATTTCGTATTCGTAACATAGCTATTACATGTCTGTAACAATTACAGAAAACCCCATTTATTAATGTCTTCAAAATTACTATGAACTACATTCACTTTTAATTAAATGTATGCTGGGATTCAAATTGTTTTCAGCAAGAAAATTCAGCTTTCTACATGTCGATTTAACTATTTCAAACTTACTTTAATTTCCATTTGTCTATAAAATATATTAGAGGGTGTCCCAATTGAACTGCAACCAACTTAAAATTGCTATAACTTTTGAACCATTTTCAATGTTGTGTCCATATTTCGCCTAATGATAGCTGATTTTATTGTTTACAAGCCTGCGGAAGCATTTTTATCTCAGTTTTATTGAAAAAAAGTTATCAGTGATGGAATACAAACGTAATAATTTGATAGCCCAATATCAAACCAAAAATGGCTATTACAGAAATTAGTTAGCAAACATTTTTAGAAAAGAATACAAATATGAAATAAATTTATAATTATAGATAATAATTGCATGATGGAGTAGTATTATGCTTTGAAAATTAACTTATATTTTGTATTTTGTAACAAATGCTATCTTTTCTTTTATAATACTAAGTTTTATTTTTTTCCTTTTATTAGGTGTGACTGTTTGAGTTAATATTGTTATTACTAATTCCTTAGATATGATGGATTATGTCACAAAAATTCTGCAATATTTCAAACTGTCCGAATAAATTACAATTAATGCATATTTCAAATGGATTATCTTTATATGTGACCTAAACATGTAGTCGTAACAAATTGTTGACGATTGCATTGTGCGAATGTTTGCGAGGACACTTCCGTTCTCGTTACATCGTCCTTTTCATGCCACCTGTCAATTCGTATTCCCTTTGCCACCTCGTGCGCCATTCTTATTTTTATTTTTTATTTATTTTTTTCCCTTCCAATCCTCTCCGCTCTCATCCCATTATTATCAGTGCCCCATATTCCTGGTAAGTCGCTGTCTTTTTGTGTTCCCTTTCACCCCACGTCGCACGACAGAGTCAATTTGTACACGCGACTCTCTTCTATCAATCACAGCCCCGGTTCGTCACGCGTCTCGACGCCGTCCCATCGGAAAACTGCACACACAACCTCGTAAATGCGATGCGTCCGCTGATTTTTTTACATGAATTATACAACTAGGGAATTGGATTACATTCCTTGAACTTTACAAGGTTTTATCTAAAATTTATAACATTAATTTGATTGTAGTGAATCCGGATTTGATTGTAGTAAATCCAGACTGATCGAAGCTGGACTATAAGAGGTATTATTATATAATTACATATTTAGAAATAATTACTTTCTACGCACAGTTTTACACACTAACAGTCATATAATAAAACAGATTTATGATCAAATGGTTGAAAGTCATTAAAAAGGGAAATCTAAAAAAATAATAGAGTGAAACATACTGGAAATCTAAATAATTTATAAAAAAAGGATTTTTTTTTAGTTACTTCATTTAATTAAGCCTTTCCGTGTGTTTATTTAGTAATTCCGTTTACTAATTAGGAAACGGTGAAAAAAAAAAAATATTCAAGAGATTGAGAAAATTGCAAGGAATGTTATTAAAACGATTTGAAAGATAAAATCCAAATATTTGGGGAGCATCGCGAAGTATAAACAAATTATTTACATGTAAATGTTAATTGGATAAACAGCGACGAAAGAGAGGAAATTGAGAGAAAAGGTATATCTCCTAATTCCACTCCACTCGGCGCCCTCTCATCTTCCCCCATCACCTCTCGCAACCCTTAGCTGAAGGCTCTGCATTGCGAGGAATTGTTTTCTTTAAACACTTCTTCCAACTTCTTATTGCATCTTTCATTCCGTCCGTTTCGCGACCATTTCTCTTCGCAAGCAATAACCCCAACCTCTTCTCCTTCCATTCTCTCTCTCTCTCTCTTACTCATTCTCCAGTTCTTACCTTTTACATCGCTTCCGGCCTCATTTATATTGAAATTCTAATTCAACCTTGCATTACTTCCTTTCCTTATCCCTGCGTTGTTGCATTTTAATTAATTAAACCAACCCTTCGGAAAAGCAGGGTCGCAATTGTAATTCGTCGGCTCCGGAAATTCACTTTCAATTGTAGTTCACGATTTGCGAACAGTTTCGATTTATTTCAGACGTTTTCATTGTTCTGAAAGGAATTGATTTGAATTTACGCTCTCAAGGCAACTTTTACCAGAAACAGAAGATGCATTACAGTAATGTATTAATAATAGCTATATTCCCCAATCATACAGTTTTCATATGCACTTTTTGTATTCATTCCATCTTTTATAGTTTTCCAGAAAATTAATAAAATGTGAAAACACTGTTTTTCCAGCAATAAATTTTTCATTTTTTCAAATTAATTAATTCCTCAAACATACAACTTTCATATGCATCTTTTAGATTATACCTATTAATATCTATAATATCGAATAGTGCTTTTAATGATAAAAATTATACACATTGTTTAGATGTATTATGTAGCCGGATTAATATTAATATTCAGTTTTCGGGTGTTAACTATCAATTCTCACATAAATGTCAATATAGTTTTCCCAATTGCGCCGACAGTGTGATGTGGGGACATCAAACACAAGCAATTTCGTTTATTGATTATATTTTGCCTAGATTAATTATTAGTATTCACCATGGATTTGTTATGTTAGCTATATAAATGATCATTAAAATTTAGTGTTAATTAAACATATAATTTAACAAATACATAACATATTACTAATAATAGTTGGTTTATTTATAAATATGAATAATATGAATTATTATAATATTTAATGTGATCTATTATTAGTTAATTACAATCTCAACGGTTTTTCTCGATTCTTTAATTAACGAAATTTTCTGGCAGTGCAATGCAATTTCCTTTCGCTTCTACAGCCGCCAGGAGAATTCACTTTCGAATAACTTACGAGTTTTATTTGGGATTTAACGAGGGAACAAATAGTTTCATTTCAAGGCGACGTTAAATTCCCGCTTTTATTATTACGAAATATTCCTTACGGGTTCTACGTTTTTTTTCTT